TATTCTCGTAATTTTAAAGTGGATAGAGGGCTGCTCACGTCCGTCCTCCCTTCTGTGCGACTTGGTCGTCTGTTCGCTCTCTGGACCATTATTTCCCATAAACAGTGGTTCAAAATTGTTTATCCAATCGTTATAGTACTGGGTTATCCATGCTTCTGGTGAAACCCTGGAAAACAGGGAAGAGGTAAGCCGTCGAGACAGTTTACATAGTTGGGAGGTGCTCGACGCGTTTTCATAATCCATTTATATGTCGCTAATGAGGTCCTCTATTACGTCGAAGCTTGTTTTAATTGCGATCATGCGACGAGTGCGAGGCCGGCGTGTAGAAGACAGGAGGTCATTGTTCATTGTGTGTGGCTGGAATGCAACCCGCCTTCTACGACATCTCATCTTTCAACTCTCAACATAGTAGCCAATAACACTGCTATTTCATGACGATCTCGGTCTCATGTCATCTCTCTCTCTAAGAAGCAATCGGTGTCCCATCCGTTGCTGGAATTGAGGAGTAGCTAAAGAGCAGCTATATGTGGGATATAGCCCCTTCTCAATCCATAAGCAGGTACTTGTTGTTTATAAAACATGACTCTATCCTCTCAATTTGAAAGGCTCGAAACGATTCTCCTTTTCCAGGCCGAGCGACTTGTTCTTGTGTCCTTGCAATAGGAACTAGACTCTACGTTTCAAAAACGATTCATCATCGTAAGGAGACTTGAAAGCAAGGTGTTTAGAAGACTTTTGAGCTGCTCCTCGATTCTGGGAATCGATGCCCGCTCAGTGTCCGTATGACCTGAAACTGGCCCGCGCCTACCCTATACCAGACTCTCAAGACACAATAAGCGAGCAATTAATGGATTCTGCTTAGCAAGCGAACAAGTCTTATCCAAACTACTCGAGTCGATTTCTCCTTCTCCATTGCATGCCCCGCTCCTACTCCACCCGTGAACCTCCGAGATGAGATACAGCTCACTGAATACTCTCCAAGAGCACATTCATCGCAAAAGCGTAGAGCACTAAATCTACCGAGGCCACCCCTGTCCATCTTCCACCGCCGATAGCTCCGCCCCTAACAGACTGAAAACGTGGAGGTACTTGAGCTTGGGAATGAGGTCCCAAAGCGCTCGAGGAGTCCATGCCCCAAGCCTCTTAAACTTCAACTCATTGATATGAGGCATGAACTTTGCCATTGCTTCAAATAGCTGCTCGACTCGAGCTTCTCCGACCTCTTTCAGGTGCGTTATCTGGTCACCAAGCGGATGGTCAACTTGGATGTACAGCGAGGTTAGATTGCATGGTTTGCAGTCGCTCCACACGACCTCGTTAGTCTTGAAGGACAACTCCATGGCAAAAGCCCTAAGAGTTGGCATCTCATGCAAGCATCGTAATATCTTGTGCACCTCTTGCCATGTCATAAGGAAGTCGATGGTAAGTGACCTTAGCCCGACAAGTCTGCCAGGGATCATATCTATCAAAGGCCAATCTTTCCTCTTCAAGGCAAGGGTTTGAGTACGATTTAGGGGTAAATCGGTGATTAAAGATCCTGCTCTTTCCCCATTAGCGCTATGGAATCGTTCTTCGGGTCGCGTCTTGTTCTGCCGGTACAGATACCTTCTAACTTCCAAAAGAAAGTGTTCAGACGATATCGGCTTTGAATGAATATATTCGGGTTGAAATACATCTAGAGATAACTCGATTCCTTTGATATATCGAAGGTTGGGAGCTTTGGACGCAAGCTGGTTGAAGATAACGGGCCAGCCGTTGGTCTTCGGACACACAAGCTCTCGTAAGGAAGGAAGTATTGGCATTTCTTCTACAAATTCGACTAGATAATCGTGGGTGTATCCACTGTCCCTTGCGTATGTCCACCCCATGTCAAGATCAAGGGTCTCAAGGCGGTCAGCCACTCTACCCAAGATTTTATAGAAAACGTCCCACTGATGTATCCAAAGGATACTACGCATGTGGAGCGGCAGGTCACCTGATAGCTTCAACGCTATCTCCAGCTTGGCCCAATCCGAACCGGACGCAAAGTGGTGATCAAAGATGAGATGATTCCACATCCCTGGGTTCAAGTAGATCCACTTGCGCCATTCTTTATGAACCAGGCATAGAGATAATACATCATCTATGGGATTGGGTCGTGTTCCCGGCACCGCATCTGTGTCAAACATGACGAGCGGGACCATCTGGACGATTCGTTGCCAGTTTTCGAACTCTATGGTTTTTAGGCGGTTTAGCAGTTCATCACCTCTCTCAAGTTTGTCGAGTTTATCTACTAGCCTGTTGTATTTTTTCTGTAATTCCCGAAGGGGTGGACCTTTGTAGTCGTTTGCACTCTTGCATTGTTGAATTTGATCCAAAACCTCTAGACGGCGTGTTTCGAGTTGCACCGCTTCTTCGGGGTTTTCCCATCGAAAGAAGGGCGGTTTGGGTATGGGTTTGGGGACAACAGACATGACTGCCTGGCGTGTAGAGAGGTCCAACCTTATTGCCGGGCTAGTGGTCAGCCCGTAGGTGGGGAGGGAACACCTACCCATACGCGCTCGATTGTAGTTTGCACGAGGCAATTATTGCATCCTTTGTGAGCACCTAATAAGCATCTAGGTGTCCTATATGCCCACTCACTCTCGGTTCCTTCGGGGTTTTAACCATCTCGGGAGTCGAAAGTCGTCTGGTGGTCGTTTTCGGACATGAGAATGAGCAGGAGGAGAATGTTTCAGTGGCCAAACAAGTTCATCGCATGCGACGTTGGCCAAGAGCCTGTCCTTTCACGTCGAGGGGAGAGTGAGTCCTTCCCCGGATCTCCGTATCTGGCAGAAAGATGTGTAATACCCGCCTACTGCTAGTCGGAAAGGAAGGTGTAGCCGTTGTTTTTACCTTGCTAGGCCAGTTGACCTAGGAAAACACCGTGACTATCCTAGTTTATCGTTGGGCTACTCCAGTACCACTATTTTGACCTATAAGTAAAATAGTAGCTTCAGTATTATAATGATAATGCATCAATACTCCCCTTTTCCCTTTCCGAAGCAGTCTCGAGACACGAAAAGCTCCGGGAATGGTCATTGTTCCGTGGGCTGGCCATTGTTTGGAGTCGCGATAAAACGCTGCCTCAAAAAGCAACAGAGCAGACGAAATGGAAGTCAGAAAAGCGGCGTGTCCACATATTCTCGTAATTTTAAAGTGGATAGAGGGCTGCTCACGTCCGTCCTCCCTTCTGTGCGACTTGGTCGTCTGTTCGC